TAGAGACCTTACAACTTACACATCTAACCTGTAGGTTCTCTCTTGGCCCCCCAGATCATCTTCACAGTGCAACAGCTTGAGCTGCTTGACCAAAGGGATCGTGACCGTGCTGATTGTCTTTTGGGTTGGTTGCTTATGGTGGGGATGTTAAAAAATCAATTTAATCGTATTAGTTTATTTTAATAATACCCCAAATAATGTGGCACTGTGGGGAATGGTTTGAGAATACTGCAAGAATGTTGCAGATGTTCTGAAAACTTGTACTAGCTGAATTCTTCTGCAACTGGAAGTTGGAGCGTGGAGAGGTCTCTGTCCTCAGGATTTTTGTTAGTTGTCTTCTGCTTATTTTAAAATAAAGTTAAGATCTCAGTGCATGTTAAACTGAAAGCTTTAGTCTACTGTAACTTCTCACGTATTGATATCTATGCCACTGCTATTAAATAGTATTACTTGGGTTGGTTTTTTTTCAGATTCAGATTTTTCCTTAAAAGTTATTTTGTGTGCAGATATTAACTTTGAAATGTGAGTAAGGTTAATATTGCTGAAGTAGAATGGCTTGCTGCTCTTCTGGCTGTCATGCAATGCACTCTCAGAAATCCTAAGTCTAGAAAAAGTAGCACTCTGTGTCAGTGCCTCTGTGGTTGTTACTGTGGGGAAAAAAAGTTAATTCATTGCTTCTCTGTCTCTTCTTGGGATTGATACAGGGGAAGTGACATGTTGCTGCTGACCCTTTCTGCTCACAGATTATAGTACGCCCCAGGAGGATAGCTCTCTCTTGTGTTTGTTGTCTGCACCGTTCATTTTGGGGGCATAATGTAGCTTGAATGACCAAGCAAAGGCTCCTTTGATTTGTTAACAAATGTACCACGTTCTGCTGAATGGCAGAGAAGTATATGTTCCCACAGAATGGCGGTCGGTATAATTAGGAGTGCAGGTATCAAAGGCACTGTGAACAGTGTGAATCAGGATTGTACCTTGGCTAAAAAGTGAGTACCTGCTGTGCTGCTTCAACTTCTCAGTCCCTCGTGGCTAATAGATGACTTGGGGTCTTGGCTACAATATTGCCTAGAGGACGGTGAGGAATCACTTCCCCATGTAAATGAAGGAGGTTGAAATACAGAGAATTTATTTTTTTGGTTGTTATTTCCCAAATAGGATAAGTGGTACCCCTTTTGTATCACACTGATCAAACAAAGTGCCTCTAAGTACCAGGCAAACTGGTGTATGCTGGATAACAGCAGTGGGGTGGGAGGGGGGAAGAACTTCTTTGTGTCACATTTGGATGTGCTATGCATGCTTAGTTTATAAAATAACTTCATCAGGTTCAGCAAAAGTTACCATTATCACACTGAGTGGCAGTTTCTCTATTATTATCTTTAGCAATCCATTGGTGGAATTTAAGCCAATCAGCTGCTGAAATGTTTGGGGAAAAGTAATATTTTAAGCAAGTCAGTGCTATTAAGTGTTAAGTTAATTAAACAGGAAAAATTGAAAATGGGTAAATAATCATAAAAGTCTAGATTCTTATAAGGTCAGCAGTTCCACACATTTTCTGTAATACATAATAATAAATGCAGTTTCTGAGTGTCAACATTAATGTGGCTCAAGAATTGCAGCTTCAAACTGTTTTAGGTACAGCCAATATTATTTTTTTTTTCCATAGTGACAAAATTAACTGGTTTAAATGCATTACTAGCTTGCATCTAAATATTTCATATTTATCATGGATTGGAATTTAGAATTCTTATGGTGAATCATTATTTTGCTCTTTTATTAGTACAGGAGGAAAAAAAAAAGTAAATAATGAGTGTGATTTGTAAGCAATTTCACAGGTTTTCTGCTGACCCAGTATAGGAAAGTTGTTAAATTTCTCATCACCTTGTGAAACCAGGTCGTCTAGCTAGATATGCTCACTTCACTACTTCAGACGAGAAATCTGTTTTTAATGTGTGAGCTATTGGCCCCAAGGGGGAGAAAAACACAGCAAGACTTCTCTGCAAAGACCTTTGTTTTGAATGATGTCTGAGTGAATTCTGAATTATTTAATTTCTTACAGTATAAATCATTCTGTTCCTTAATGATAATACAGCATATCTTTTCCTTTCTTAGATCATGTATGCAATGAAAGAACTTCCTCAATTTTATGATATGCAAAAGTGTGAGAGACTATTAGGATATAATTTAAGATAGGGCTTTTGCCCAAAAGAAATTACATTCCTAATGAATGCTATCCTATTTCTTGATGAATGCTGTCCTGTAAAACTACCAGAATGTACTTCTTTTAGAAATGTTCCTGAGTTATTGCTTATATGGTTGATGTATTTCAATTATGCTATGATTTTGGTCTCTACTGGCATTCTGCAAACTTATTTGTTACTGCTGTCAACTTCTATTTCTAATGCTGCTGCTCCCATAAACAAATTGACTTGGATGAAATCATTAACCTCTGTATGGTTTGTGTGATTTGCATGTTCTAAAAAACCTGGTGTTCTGGCTCATGTTTTGGAGCTGTGTAGTTATCTCTCTAAAAGTCAGTGTGATTGCTAGTATTTGACATCATTCGTAGAAATTATCCTAAAACTGAATTTTTCCAACTTTTGACTAGAATCAGAGTTAATATGTTTGTTTATTTTTTTTATTTACAATCTTCTCTCCCATGTGCAATCAGATGGTTGGAAAACATCTGCTGCTCCTACTCAGGTTTTTGATCTCATCAATTTGCTAGCTAACCTTTTGGTTCCACAAATTCATCTTGTTTGTTCTTATTTGTAGTCATTTTTTTCATGTAAAAGTCATTACAATTTATTTTCATACTGGTTCTCCATCTTTTTCCAAAGATCAATATTCACTGCCAACAATGGTGGAAAAAAATACATTTGTTATCTGTCTTGAGACTTCTGTGTATGTTTTACAAATCTACAAAACCTCTTCACTATCTTAAGAAATTTAAGGTTATAAAGTCAAGCGGTCTGTAATGAGGAGAAGTAAGTTAAGTTTGGCTGGTGCTTGTAGCAATTAATCTACTCTTTGTACATGCATTATCTTAATTCCGTGTGAGATAGTATTGTTATTGCAATACAGCGACTGCTTTGACTTTGCTCACAGTGTTTAGCTCTCAGCAAATAGCTTTCTGCAAATTTGATGCTGGGTCAGAAAAAGATACAGCAAGCATTTGCACAAAGTTGTATTTTTATGTGACCAGCTTGCCAGTTCATAGGACTTTTGATATCTTTCTATTCCTTTCAATATGAGAGCGTTCTGTCTCTAGCATTCATTCATTGCAAATCATCTCACCTAAGAAATAATAAATATATAAAGGGTTCTGTAGACAAACTGAGGATCTTCCTAGTACAGTGTTGTGAACTGGATGATTTGGAGTGGGGAGTGGAGGGAACACGGGGATGGAACAAAAAATCTTGTCATGTAATGCATGACCAAAAAAGGTATTGAAATGAGGCAATATGCTGATTTGCATTTCCTAAATTTGGAGGCTTTGATTCGGTAATATTTCTGTCTTTATATGCACAGGTGTATGTCTGTGTAGTACGTGCAAAGAAAGGAGAAATATTATAATCTTATTGAAGTAAATAAGAGTTTGCTATTCAATGAGGTCAGGATTTTACTAGCTTTGCAGTGTTTCCACAGCCTTCCCATCTTTTCATGTAATACCACTAACTCCAGATTTAAAGCACCTTTTATGCAAGGAAGTTTTTTGGAGAAAGGAAGGTAGGGACGTTTGTTTTGTCAAAATTGAGTTTTTTTTCCTGTGTCATAATTGCCTCATGAGTCTACTGCCTCCAACATCCGTTAAATAAAGTGTAATCTAGAAAGGGTCTCCTTTGTTGCCTTATGCTAACTATATGCATAGGTAAACTGTAACAGTGATGCTGACTAATGTGCTTGGGGTACCCTTCCATCTCATCCACCAGAGGGTGGTGGGTGAGACCCCGTGTGCTGCTGTGTATGTTGCACTCTTCTTTGAACAGAAACTTGGTAGTAAGTGAGGTTGTAGTTGTGCTATGTTGGGAAATTGATTAAAGAGAAATCATAACATTGGCAGGTGTTGAAGATGTGGGCAAAAGTCTCACTACCTCATGTGAGGCTGATTGAGATGGGCAAGGTCTTTGGAACCATATCTTGCAGGAGATGCACCTGAGGCAGCCCGTGCCAGGGGTGGCAGAGAAGGTAGTGGCATGGAGGGTGAACGGTAGAAACAAGATATGGGGGTCTTTGAAGCTACTGAGACCAGTGTCCTGGGAAGGGAGGTGATAAATAGTGGGAAAAGTGTTCCTGAAACTACTTCATTCTTTGACAGAAATTTTGTTCACAAACACCTCCGCATGCTTACTCACTTTAGAACCTCTTTCATATTTTTGATTTCGTGTCCGTGTCTCATTTGTTTGTGTGTTATAGCCCATTCCTGTTCTGAATTTAAAAAAATATCTCCTCAAATTCCCTGAGTTGCTTTACTCCTTAAATGTGTAAGTTTACAACACAGTAGGTGATTTGGTAATCTACTGGTGACATATGATTTGTAAGTAATTGGGGGCAGGGATGACAACTTTTCAACTTTTATTATGCCTAGAAATTGCTGTAAATCTGTAAAATCTTGGGGATGAAGTCTTATCTATTATAATTTTCTTTCCATTCCTATAAGATCTTTGTCTAAACATCTTTAGAGAGGCAAAGTACAGTGGCAAGTATGGGTATTAAAATGTAATATGAGTGTTCAAACACTAACCTATTTAGGTGTCTATATAGACAGTTGATAATTTTTCCTAAGCCCCTATCTGCAATCTTAAAATTATTTGCAGTAAAAGGCAAAGATTTAAGGAAGACAAACTTTTTAGGAAAAGGCTCATTTAAAACAGGAAAGAAGTCATTAAAATTCTAAAATACACAGTAAAAGTACCTTATATGCAAGTGGGGAACATGGTATAAGGAACTCTAGTTGATCCCAAGGTTTCTAAAACTTGTAAAATATATTAATGTTATTTCAGCTGGGAAGTTTTGAGATTCCTTCTGTCTAATTTGAGAATGTGGATCGAAGACTATCGCTTTGATGGTTTCCGATTTGATGGTGTTACATCTATGTTGTATCACCATCATGGCATTGGTAAGTAATTTAACCAACTCTAATCTGAGCAATCCTGTTGCTGTGGAAATAGTGCTGTAAAAGTTAACTGAGTGCTCCAAGAATTCCAGATTTGCTAATATCTTGATGTGCTGCTCTAGGGATAGATCTGAAGTTGTGAATAAATTTGGTGCTTATGAAATTGTGTATTACAAAATCTCTGTGGGTTTTTTGTGTGGGTTTTTGTGTTTTTTTGGGGTTTGTTGTTGTTGTTGTTAAAGCGACTGTTTGCTTATGAAATTGTGTATTACAAAATCCCTGTGGGTTTTTTGTGTGGGTTTTTTGTGGTTTTTGGGGTTTGTTGTTGTTGTTAAAGCGACTGTGGCCTTTAAAACCTCCTGTCTTATTAGGCACAGGATTCAGTGGAGATTACCATGAATATTTTGGCCTACATGTGGATGAAGATGCTTTGTGTTATCTAATGCTGGCCAACCACATGATTAATTTCTTGCATCCGGAATGCATAACCATAGCAGAGGTAAGATCAGGATTTGCCATCCTTAATGATATTAATATTGATCAGTTTGCTTTGGGATGTGAATTTCCTGTTAATTGTCAAGTCACACTTCAAGTACTCAAGGAGTGACAGGAGCTGAGAAATATTAATTAGTGGACAGACTTTGCCTTGTCGGGAAGAACAACTGGAATATGTACTTTGGGAATTTTCTCTGCATTAATGGGTCATTAATTAATGTGGGGATTTCTCTTTTTTCTTCATCTCCTTGAACTTGTAATGAGATTGGGTTTTATTATTTATTACTTTTGCATGATTGCCATTTGTCACTCATGATTCATGGTACTAAAGTTTAACAGCCCTTGTGTGGTTTTGCATATTTTGAATTATATTGGCGTAATTGACAATTTCTCTCCAAAATAAACGTGATAAATTTATAAATGTTGCATATGTATGCTAATTTAAATTAAGTATGAAGTTTCTGCAGGTTTCTGAGGGAGTAAATAGGCTATATTGCTTGAGTTGATTGAGATCAATTAAACTTTTTTGACTGAAAAACACTATTGTTGGCACATGGAATTTTTAAAAGTATGAAACACCAGAGCATTAAAGTTCTATGAATACGTATGTTTTCACTGATATTTTCTCTTTATCTAAAAAAATAAAAGTAAACCTTGAGGGTTTTTCTGTTATGTTTAAATAGTTATTTTCGTTTAGAGGAAAAGGTTGCATCTATCTGATATCATTAGTGACTACACAGATTTCTAATAAAACTTTTTGTATTGCTTAAGAGTTCCCTATTTATCTTCAGAAAATAAAATACGGCTTAACTTCATTTCTTACTTATGGCAAAGTTTTATATTATAGAAAGCCACTGCTAAAAGCTTAATGACAAGCTATCAAAACCAGCATCTGATGAGCAATTACTAGTAAACGTGAGATGGCTTCATTGAGCTGTAGGCTTATTTGAAGTGAAATTTGTTCATTTCCCAGGTAGTCTTAGATTATGAGCACTCCTGCTGATGAAATTCTGAGTTCAGTCTGCTCGTATAACCTGCTTAAAAGTTCTTTTTTTTTTTAATAAGATGTGTCATATTAAAAAAGCAGTTTCTCTTGCTTGAGTTGAAAACTGCTTCTGTTTCAATACATCATTTTTCTGCCTGGGAGAGTCACTACACAAAATACAGAATTGATCAATGTGCTGCATGGTTAAAGGAGAATTTCAGAAGGAGAAACTACTGACATAATTGAAAATTACAAAAGGCAATGAAGAATGTCTGCTTGTCTATAATGATGGTGGAATGAGTGCCATATAAGAAACATGGTTTTGTCTAGCCATAACTAGTCATAATATATTCCTTAATTTTTAACTGGTAATTTTTACAGCTTTTTAATATCCTGTACATTCACTGTCTTAGTAATTTCTAAGTTTGTAGGTATTACTGACTATATGCTTATTTTTCATTTTGGCCTTCTAAATAAAGCTGTGATTAAAGTTTTGCATAATGAGAAGAAAAAATGCCTGAAGTGTTATAAAAACAAACAGACAAAAAAAACCCCAAAAACACTGCTGTGTTGTGTTTTGTTTTTTCATATGCAGCTCACTTCAAACTAGGGTCTGAACAAATGCTTAGGCATTGGCTGTTTATATTTAGTGGAAAATATACTGCATGAACTAACACTGAATATTTTTTAGTATTCAGGTAAAATCTGTAGATATAGATAGATATAAATACGAAATTTGGAATTTTACTTCCCAAAAATTTGGCTTTCAAAATTGTGACTAAAGTAGATGGGAGCCACTTAAATATCAGACTCAAACCTTGTCCAGGTAGGCATCATAGCGTCACAGAGAAAGGCTTCTGTTTCAGATCATCTTGTCCTGCATAAAACTTGGAGACCATTAATCTGCTTTTATCCTTTCTGACTGATTCAGGAGAGCTATTGAACTTCCTTTTATAAAATCAAAAAGTTTGGAAAGCGTTTCCGCTTCATTATTCAGTATTGACAGCATGTGGAATGCGGGTGCATTTTTTCCGTGTGATCCGATGACTGCTGAGTAAAGGGGGATAATCCCCTCCTCTGTTCTGGCTTTGTTGTTCGTACCGCCCGGGATGCTGCTGGCCATCCCTGCTGCCAGGGCAGGCCGCTGGCTCATGCTCAGCTTGCTGCTGGCCCAGAGCCCCCCGGGGCCTTTCCAGCAGAGCTGCTCCCCTGCCTGGCAGTCCCCAGCCTGTATGGATGCAGGCGTTGGTCCCTCCCAGGGGCAGGATTTGACAATTTGCCTTGCTGAACTTCCTAAGCGTGCTGTTGATCCGTTCCTCCAGCCAGCCAGGGTCCCTCTTCCACCCCGCAGCATACCATCCACGACCTTCGCGATGATGCGGTTGCGCTCCTCACTATGTCAACATCGCGGGGGGGGAATGCATGTATGCGTATGTATGTATAACTTCAAGTGCAAATGTCTTTCTCACTAGTCCAGTGCAGCAATTGGATTGAAAACTGGATTGAATCCAGAAAACCAGAAGGAGCTTCCTAATTAAGCCCCTGTTCTAGTCAGAATTGAATTCCATAAATTCTCTTGAAGAACACGCAAGAGGTGTGTGTTAATCCATAACCATTGTGGTGGAATGGCTTCTCAGTGACATAAGTTAATAAAATTGAGTACTGATAGATATTTTGCAATTATTGGAGGTTTGCATTTTCTATATGGATAAGCTAACTTTAGAAGAAGAATGCTGTGTGACATAAATGACTGATAAAATGGTGAAATGAGAACTTTGAATTACGAATTTAAGAATGATCAGCCTCCATCAATATGAAACTGGAAAACTATTCAGTAAGAGCATGTCACTTTCCAGGGCTAGCTGGATCAATAGTTTTGGTTTGGTGCATTTAGGAAAAGAGCAGAGATTGTATTTTTCTTCCTTACTGTAGTTTATATTCAGCCTTTTATTTTTGTGCCATTCTTTATGCAAAATATCAATAAAGAAAATGAAGGTTTAATTTATCTTTCGTTGACTACTTTCTATTGATTACTTGGAGCTCAAGAGAGCTAATTATTTCAAATTCTGCATCTACTGAGGTCTCTTCACCCTCAAATATCTACTCTGTTAAAATATTTTGTAGTAGAGTATTTGATGAGAAAAGTTATAACACTTTTCCCTGTAACTTTTGCATTCAAACAGGAAATCTGTGTGCAGTAATCACTGACCTACCCAGGTCAGTCTGTGAAGCTGTTTATAGTTTACAGAGTATTTGTGTAGAATTATTTCTGTATGGTAGAAAATCTGAACTAATAATTGCAATGCTATGCAAATTATGCTGTTGTGTTTGTTTTTTTTTTTTTATTTAAGGACGTTTCTGGAATGCCAGCTCTTTGTCGTCCTGTTGCAGAGGGAGGAGGGGGTTTTGATTATCGACTAGCCATGGCTATTCCAGATAAGTGGATACAGGTGAGAACTTTTTAAAAGTATGTTCCGCTCTTCAAAGCGGGATGTTTCTCTCTCTGTGCATATGCAAAAACACTTCTGAATCCTACTGACAAATTTCAGTCTCTCTTCTGTTAATGTCCTGTTAGATTGACAGGCTTGAGCAGAGGTATTAGTGGCTGAAATGAGAGCTGTCACATATCATGTAGATTACAGAAGGTGGGTAAGTTCAGGTGTTATTCTTTGCATTCTAGCTGATACTTGTTTTCTTCATACAATATACATAGACTAATTTTGTTTGAAATAATCTGTATGGTGCAACAGCTGTGGAATGTGTAGTCTGTATTGAAAGTGAACAGGTAGATAGTAAGTTAACTGTATGCATACAAATACTGAAAAAAAAAAAACCACCCAAAAACATGCATTGAACCCTGCTGAAACTGAGTGTAGTAATTGGTGTTGAACATGAATAAAGATGAAAGTTTAACCAAAGTAAATGTAAGCCAATTATACACACACCAGCAATTGGTACAGTGGGGTTACAAAAAGAGTAATAAAAGTCTGTAAATGCTCTTCAAGAACAATAATATACTAATATACACTGACTATGATAAGGATTTAAATCACCTTTTCTTTAATACAAGGAATCACAAGAAAAGGAATAAAACACTAAATGATCTCAAAAGGCTTCTACTGATGTTTTAGAGAATGTTTTTCAGTTAGAAGATTGCATCCGAATCCCTCAGGCTATCATGATGATCTGAAAACAATAAATGTTTTATATGAGCATTAATGCTTCAATAGACGTAATGAGTAGCTTAAAATAAAAAGCAAATTAACTTATTTTCAGCATCTTTCACTTTTGTAACTAGGAGGTGGAGGGCAGATTGAAAAATGGTTTTTAAACCTTCTTTTCATTCAGAAGACAAACTTGCCAGCTTTTCCAAGAGAGACCGTATCCTTAAACTTGAGACTGCTTGCTCTCATTTCTCTACAGCTTTTCAGTATGTACCTGTTAATAGCAAATTTTCTAGGCACTTCCTAAAAGCAGTTGTAGGCCTGAAGGATCGCTAGGGTTCTGTGAAGTAATTCTGTGGGATCTGTAAAAGTAGGAGAGATAAGCTGATTGTCAAACCAGTGGCTGTTATCGTTCACATTAAACATAAATCTACTACGTAACGTGATGCTGCATGGGGACCTGAATGTTTTCAGGGCCAGAATTTATAGAGTTATTAAAAAAAAGATATTTAGGAGTGCGTGACCAGTTACAATCAAAATGCTAAATTTTACAGAATCATATTAGACATCTTGATGTTACTGCCTTAGTCACCTTTATTTTTATGTCTATATATTTATGTGTATGTATTTAAGTTGTAGTGATCAATGGAGGTCTATAAAGTTCTATAGAAAAAAGAAAGAACTAACACTGAAATGGGTCTAGGTTTGGGAAAGGGAGGAAATGGTGTCATATGAGGCAAAAAATTCCTATTGATGTGATTTAATTTAAATTCCAAAAAATCTGGAGCTAGCGTGGCAAAAAAAAAAAACCCCAAAACCAAAAAAAAACCCAAACGAAAAAACCTACAAAACATAAAACTTAGTTTGTATTCCAAAGCTTTGTCATTCAACCTGTGGTTTGGAACTGACTGGAAATTCACAGATCAGGGAACATGTAAGTCCCTCCGCTGAGCACCTTGTCATGTTGTGTACTTCGTGGCAGTAGCATAGTGCTATCTTGCAGTGATCCATTCTCTACTACACAGCCCAGCACTTCAGATCTAGTTGGAAGCTGCCATATGCCAGGGTTACTTGAAATACAGGACTTATTTCAATACCATGTGTAGGTAGGTGTGTGAATCCACGTATTTTTTCCTCAGGGTTTTGGTGCAGTGCTCTCTTGAAGCTCCAGCAATTGCATTGCCTGCTGTATCAGAGGGTTCACGTGATAGACGGCAAGTCCAATGGTCCATGCTTATATGTGGAAGTACAGGAGAAACAAAATGTTCTAGTTGTTATATTTATGTAGTGGAATTCAAACAAAAGAAATCTTTTCAGATTATCAGAGAAAGCTGCTTGTTCTAAAGCTGGGAATAGAAGTTAAAATAATACAGTTCACAATTCATTGGGAGTTTCTGTGCCGAGATAATGAAGAAAGGTAGTAATGTGCTTGTAGTTAAAACAGAAATAATTTTTCAATGATCTTTCCTTTATTTTTGCAGATAATTAAGGAGCTGAAAGATGAAGACTGGAATATGGGCAATATTGTGCATACATTAACAAACAGACGGTATGAAGAAAAGTACATTGCTTATGCAGAGAGCCATGATCAGGTACTGTATCAGTTTGTTTATATATAAGCAAGTAAAAGATGAGGTTTAGAGGCTTAGTGGGCTTTGTTTTTTAAAAATTGAGGCAACACTTGAGAAGGACAGGTAAAAATTTCAGAGATGGGTAGATCTGGACTAGTGTTTTTTTTTTTGTTGTTTGGGTTTTCTTGTGGGCTTGTGTTGTGGGTTTTTTTTTTTTTGTTTCAATCCTTCTTTTTAATTAAGGAATTCTGCTTGGAGTGGGTGGGTGTTATTTTTCAGGTTTGTTTTGTTTTGTTTTTTTTAAGAAATGAGTCCTAGCTTCTTTTTTTTTTTTTCCTGCCTGTCATAGAACATAGGAAGGCATATAATCCATCCTTTTGAAAATCTGGTTTCCATAAAGTAGGCTGGAGCACTATTTATGATAAGCATAAACAATATGATAATTTAACAAATTTGTTCACCGAATCAGTGTTTGCAACTGTATTCCCTTCAAGAAAATGTTTCCTCTCTGAGAGGATTGCAAACACCCATCCTCTTTAGAAATATAAGTGAAATATTCTTTAACAGTTTGATTCAAACCACAGCAATTGTAATGGTTTTGTATACAGAAAAATGAAAAACTAATGATAAGTTTGAATAACACACATCTCCCACAATCTTCTTTCATGGTTGTTTCTGAAGAATCAGAAAACACATTCACTGAGAATTTGAAAATTAGGAAGTTTAAAAAATATAATCCATTTTCTAATAAAAGGTTTAAGTAACCTACCTCCAACTCTTTCCTCTACGTAATAGAGGTTTACGTTCTATTTCCTATACTTTCTATAATAACAGTCTGCAGAAGTGTCCAAAATGAGACCTGTATTTTATTTTAAAAAGACAGTTCTGAGTTTATCAGCTTCCTTTTGTGTACCTGTTTACATTCTTATCTCAGACTGTGTTCACTGAAGTCCCAATCCTGGTAAAGAACTTCAGGTATTACTTGGAAATACATTTTATTCTGTGACTATTTGCTTTTATAAAAGCTGATTCTTCATCCTAAAGCATCCATATAATATTACTGTTGTTGTTCTTTTATTTCATGCAGGATTTTATCAATTGAGTTATTTTCCATATCACTATGTACTTTTGTTTTAGAATCTCATACTTGGGAACATGATCTATTTATTTTGAATTAAAAAAGGAAAAAGAGTTAACTATGATGAATGCAGATAGACACCAGGATGATATGTGAAAAGTAGGATAGAGAAATAAAATGGGGGTGTAGATGAAACTCAGTCTGGAGGTTCTCGAAGTGATGCACCTGAGGGGCTGAAACAATTCTGGTTTCTTATATGTTATAATGGGCTAGGAGCTGACTGTTACAGAATACAGGGCCTCGTGGTTATAAGTGTGTGCAAATAGCAACTCAATGCTAATAGCTGTCAAAAGTACCCGATACAGTACTGAAATTGTTATGAATGGAATGGAGAGCAAAGAGCAAAATCAGTATGCCACTGTGGTCTTTCATGGTTTGTGTGCATCTTGAATGTTGGAGACAGATTTGGTCCTGTTATCTCAGAGGAAATACAGCATAACTGGAAAAAATGCTGTGAGAGTTGGTAAAAATAATAGCAGGTGTGGATTGGTTTTCATAAGATGAAAACTAAATGGACTAAGACTCTACAGGGTAGAAAAAAGGTCATTGAAGGGGGGAGGGTAACAGCTTATAAAGTCATGGTTGGCGTAGAAAACACGAATAGGGAACATTTACCTTGTCTTGTAATGGAAAGATTAGGGGACATTAAATGACACTAACAAATGCCACATTCTGAGTCCAGAGAAGAGTTGTTCCTTGCAGTTATTCAGTGCAGTCTTCAGTCTTGCCATTGTTGCATAGGAATTTATTTAAAAAAAAAAAAAAAAAAAATTACCTTTTTACTTGAGAGAACCATCTGTATGTGCTGTTAGATTGTTAGCTGGAACACTAAAGGGTGATGTTGCTTTTCAACTAGATCTGTTTACAACTCAACTGTCTCTCTGGGATCTAGTGAGTTTTCATGCTACAGTATAATATGATAATTGGGCTAACTGAACAAAAATTAGCTATTTACATACAAACACTCCAAAACACTTTCAGCTTGTTACATACCATTTGTGTGGTCTTTCTTAAGTAACAGTAAGCAGTAGCAACTTAGTAATTCAGTCGTAATTCAGTCACTGTTTTTAGACAGAATTACTAGTTTGTTTTTCTCTCTTGTGTGAAAACACAGAAAACCAATCACATTCTTGATTGCATGTAAACAGATGTTTCATATTCACTCTGCATCTCTAAATCAGGAGTGTTGTTAATAGCCCTTTATTTGTACATCCTGGGAACTTTACTTGCTTTCTTATTTTCTGTGTTTTCTATAAAAATTCCAAAATGTTAGGTCACTTGTGGCTTATCGTGTTGATGCTAACACTTCACGTTTGGTATCAATAGGCAAAAAAATTCTCAGAAGTAATTGTGTAGCACGATCCCATCAGGTGAAACATAGGACCACAACAAGTGTGAGACAGCTATTGGTTTATTGATCACATACTTGTACTCCAAACAGTGTGAGGAGCCCCAGTAACCATGTGGAGGGTTGCAAGGGGTAAACAGACAGTCGGATCTGACATCCAGTTGAAACTCAGCTCAGGGATGTCCCTGACTCAGTTTACATACTTTCTCTTTTTGGCAGCAGATTGTATATATCACACACATGCGATTACACATCTCACAATACAAAGTTGCAGTAAGTGGGAGCTGGGGACACTGTGACCTGGTGATCATCGGCAACGGCAGGACGTTTTCCTTGTGAAGAGGGACTAGATCGTGCACACCAAGCCACGTCCTTGACTCCTCACCAATCTTATGAGTCCTCTCCTTAGTGATATAGAGTGCCTGCTTTAAAAAAATGTTAGAAACACTTCTAGTACACCCAAGGGTTTTATTCACTTTTTTTTTAACTGTTATAGGCACTTGTTGGTGATAAGACATTGGCGTTCCGACTGATGGATGCAGAGATGTATACAAACATGAGCGTGCTCTCGCCTCTTACACCAGTTATTGATCGGGGAATACAGCTCCATAAAATGATTCGTCTCATTACTCATGCACTTGGAGGAGAGAGCTATCTGAACTTCATGGGTAAGTAATCTTAGGAACAAGTCTTTCATTTTCTCATCTACAGAATGCTTGGCAGGGAAATAAAATGATCTGACATCATCTTACATCCACAGTATTTATCACAATGCTGAAGTTTAGATCATAAATGCTTTTATAAAGAATTAGTACAAAAGGTAATATGGGTTGTTTTTCTGTCTGTAAGATGTATTATAAGACAAGAAAATAAAATCAATGCGGTTTCTATTTGTAACAGAAATAACTTAAAATATGGTAAGTTCTGGTTCAGGTTACTCTGATTTACAACTCAGGCTAGTATTTTAATAGTTGTTCTGCAAGTTTGTCAGGTGGTGAGCCTTGCCTTACACAGCTGGGTTGTCTTTCGTCTCTATTCTTCTACCCTCCAAAACTTTTTAGGGTAACAGTACATTTACTAAGCGTAGCTCTGTGCAGCTCTGTGCTTATTTCAGTTATTAATTGTCAGGAAGTAATCTGGAATCACTTGATTTATATTTCGCTGCTTCTTAGTGAAGAGCAGCAGCCTAATGAGGTAGGCAAGGACAAATCATAGAGATAGGAGGCACACCCTGCTATTGAAGCAGGGAAATAGTAAGAGTTAGCAGTACTTTTTTTGCTCATAAGTTGTATTTACAAGTGTTGCGTTGCTTCTTAAGCACTATTGCGACAAAATCGTCCAACAATTTCTCGTTTAACTAACAGGCAAGTTACAGGTCTACGTAGTCATCTTAAAGATTGAATGTTGTTCTCAGTTTTATACAGAATGCTGAAGCTATTTATACTTGATGTTCTTTAAAATATTTATGTTCATTAATTTCTTTGCAAAATAATCCTTTATAGTAAAAATCACAATTCTGTAATGTGGTGTGACAAGTTCTGTATAGCAGTTGTGATGGTCTCATGGGGGGCAAAAAAGGCTGAAAGCATGCTGTGAATGACCATCTCGGTTTTCTCACAACTAAACACTTGAAAAATACAGAATTTTTGGCTTAACATTGCCTTCAACTTTTATTTTTAATTTTTTTGTATTATCAAGTTAAAGGGGGTTATTGGATGTATATTGCCTTTCTTTCATGAGAGTATATTAAAAAATATATTTTTCTAATTAAAAAAATGGAGAACGTTAATAAGGCAATGGTGGCATTTGATTTAAGCCTTTCTGTACTGATACACGTTCTCATCCTTAGTATTAGAAGAACACTCAAAAAATACCGTGTTTGTGGGTTTTCTTAAGAATTAAAGCAACTTCAGTACAGAACAAATCAATTCAGCTTATGGCATACTAGTAAAACTATTGTTTCCAACGAAATCCAGATTTTTTTTTGGCCAAGATTGAAGAAGAGTTAATGAAATAAATATTTATGAAGTGTGTAGTCAGGCACCAAAACATGCAAGGTATGATGCATGCGCTTCCGTTCAAACTAGTGATACTACAATAGTAGTAGGAAGCAGGTGTTTAAAAAATATGTCAGCTAAACTGCAGATGTCTCTGCCCCAGATTGACTTGGTAAGGTTAGAAAAATGATCAGTAATTCAATGTGGCATGTTAAATCCAGTGTGTCAATGCAGGTTGATTGAGCAATTAATATTGTGTATCCTTGAGTACTGCAAATGTTTCAGTAACTACATTATAGTTTGCTATATGTAAAAAGTGAAAAGATTGTAATAAATGTTGGAGGAGAAAACTTAGAAATTCAGAATGCTTGCAATCCGGTGTACTTAAAATGCATGTTGCAGCATGCTATCTAGTTAAGCAAATACAGTGACAAATGAGTTCTTTAACTTCTAGCTTTGAGCAAATGCTGAGAGTGAGGAAGAGAATGCTCCTGTGGGATGGGGGAAAAGTGAAAGTCTCCTTTCACAACACCTGGAGAAGGCAGTCTAGGTGCCTCTGTGCTTCCCTAAGTCCTTCCATAAATGTCTCATACCTTCTTGTTCTGAAAACAGACACCAAAGCAACATGCTGCTTTCTCAATGCTTTGCTCATCTTAAGGAAAAACAGACTGCTTCTGAAATATGTTTTATCAGGAGTGGAAATAAGTGTTCTCAAATGTATCCTGGCGTTTCTCTTTGAATGTCTGGAATAATAATTAGTTACACCTGTGTCAGTATTATTTGTACTCCATACGTGCAAGCAGATTCTTGTTGAGAGAAGTTGTGCCCTGTTGAACACCAAATACTGATTGTGGCTTTCTCCCATCTTTCTCACTTTTCCTACTGAATGGTTCTCTGTCCTTCTTACAGGTATCTGTATGAAACCACTGCAAAAATCCTGGAAGTTGTTCTTCCTTTACATAATTCTGGATGTTTAATTTTGGAACTAGATGATCTTTAAGGTCCCTTTCCAACTTAAACCATTCTGTGATTCTATTTTCCTTCTCAATTGCTTATTGCAGTACAGGCAATCAATGATGTATGCAAACCTACAAGTGAATAAGAAAGTTTTGTCATTTCAGTAAATTGGTTCCCTTGTAACAGAAACCATTGGGAGCATCCTTTCTTCCGGTCTGTATTTCAGTTTTCTGTGCAGCTTTGCAAGTAATCTCTGGGGCTTCATGTGCCCATCTGGCATGAAAGACTTAACCTAGAAAGGGAAAAACTCCATATGCTTGGCTGAAAATGAGCATGACAATGATAAACATCCTGCTGTAGTGCATGAGCACTCTGGAAGGCCAGTTTGTTTAATAGTAATAATAAAAAAGTAGCAGTTGTTTTGAAACTTGTGCTGTGTCCAAATCCTCTGCTTTCAAAGCAAGTAGGGAGCAACAATCCTAATGTAGCAGTAGTTTGTTCAACACAACTCCTGTTTTAGACAGAGATTTTAGTACAAAGACTGGCCAGTGCAGGTCAGAAGGTGTCATATGACTTTAGGAAATCACAAAAATTATGAGTTCTTCTGCATAATGCTTTAGTTAGGGGCACAGATGATGCTTCTTTTAAGAGTTTCCTCCATTGCAGCTAAGCTTCCACAAAGATGTTGACATAGATAATACACACTTAATCGTATGAACTTAAATGACACTTACAGAGAAAGCCCCAAGGATTCACAATGTGTGACTATATTAAATAGTGGAAGCAATTTTATAATTGGAAATAATAGGAAGAAAAACCTCTATTCCTACTCAAGTATTTTTGTTTGTAATGGTAGGGATATCAAAATACAATATGCATCTAGTATTAACTTAATTAAAAACCAGAAAATTATGTGAAAAAATACTTGGACACATAGATCTTTGCCCTCTCTGATATGAGGATTTGAAAACAAATCCAAAATAAAAACCCTGTATCTGACTAAAATTCTTTATTGTCATTTTATCCCCCTACAAATTAACACAAAGGCTTAAGATTTGAGTCTGCTTCCTCAATTGCAAAACAAAGACTAATTGAAGTTCTTATAAGACTTCTAGAATACTACAGGAATCTTCTGATCTCATCTTGAAAATAAAGCAACCACTGTTGTTACCCACTGGACAATGTTTAGCTTCAACATAAAGTTTCTCACATTTCCTGAAAATAATAGTTGAACTTACCACTACAGAACTGTTCTGTCTGTACATCCCTTTGTTTCCCTTTGGCTTCGTTTTCCATGCTGTCCCTGAAGAAAAGCTGTAGAAAACTGTAATTGTTGATTTCGCTTAAATAGTATTTTTCTTTTCTCTTGCTCATTGCCTGTGCCTTGTACTTAAGGAAACCCTGCAGGACATGGGAAAGAGCTGTGCCAATTCTTCAGTGTACTCGTTTCCGTGTTCTCTCCTTATCTTGTAAGATACATCTGTTTGTCTAGATTTAGACAAGCAAGGTAGCTGCTTTCTTGCCTAGAATAAACATAGGATCCAGCCCAATGGGCCTCAAATAGCAGTTTAGGTGCTCGGGATCCTTCATAGCACAAATATTTACTGTTTTTTGCCACTGTAGGGTCTTGCTTTTCAACTTGCTAACAATAATTTTCTTGTTTCTGTCTTCACTTTAAATTGGCTTAAAAAATCTGTTGATTTAAATGGAGATTAGTTCCTACATGAACCTCTAGCACTATTTTTTATGGCTTTTCTATTGTAAACCAATTCTTAATTAGGACTCCAGAGAACAAATCTCTCTCCTTGCAAACAACTTTTTAAATATCTATATAGAAGCTAGAAAATTATTTGCGGTAACTAGAACACTTTTTGCAATCATGAGCATTGACTGGTAGTGTTATGATTTGGGTTGACATTTACCTCTGTTTCGCTAATATCATCAAATCTATCTGTAAAGCTTCCTTTTCCCACTTGTTAGTTCAATTACACAGTACTTTATCTTCTTTCTTTATGCTTAGGGGTGTTTTTTTTGTATGCACTAAGACAGTGTTGGGTTGTTTGGTTTTTTTTTTCTCTCTAATGGTTTGCTATGATCAGAGAATTTCAGAGTTGGAAGGGACCTCTAGAGATCATCTAGTCCAACTCCCCTGCTAAAGCAGGATTGCCTAAAGCACATTACTCAGGACTGCATCCAGGCAGGTCTTGAAAATCTCCAGAGAAGGGGACTCCACACCCTCCCTGGGCAGCCTGTGCCAGTGCTCTGTCACCCGAACTGTAAAGAAGTTTTTTCGTGTGCTGGAATGGAACTTCCTATGTTCCAACTTGCACCCATTGCCCCTCGTCCTGTCACTGGGAACCACCGAGAAGAGTGTGGCTCCATCCTCCTTCAACCCACCCTTTAGATACTTGTATGCCATAATAAGGTCTCCCCTCAGCCTTCTTTTCTCCAGGCTAGAGTCCCAGCTCTCTCAGCCTTTCCTCATAAGGGAGATGCTCCAATCCCTCAATCATCTTGGTTGCCCTTCGCTGGACTCTCTCCAGCAGTTCCCTGTCCCTCTTGAACTGGGGAGCCCAAAACTGGACACAGTATTCCAGTTGTGGCCTCACCAGTGCCGAGTAGAGGGGGAGAATGACCTCCCTTGACCTACTGGTCTCACTCTTCCCTATGCAGCCCAGGATTCCA